GTGACGTCTTCAACTTGGAAACCTGTCTCTTCAGCCCAGATCCCTTCACTGAGTTCCAGACTGACTTATCCAACTGCCTGCTTGACATCTCTTCATTATTCTCAAGGCCCCTCGAGCTTGGCGTGAAGAAAACACACTCAGGCTTTTCACTGAAACCTGGTGCCCTGCCATGTTCCTGGACAGAGACAAACCAGCAGTACCAGGAGCCAGAAATCTCTGGCATGCCCCTCTCACTCACCACCACTTCTGTTCCCACAAATAACCAGGTCCTGTCAGCTTCATCTTCTGGTGGGCTGTAACCATGTCTGTCCACAGAAAACCCCCAAGTGGACATAAGTGGAAACTCCCAGCTCTTACAGAACAGCCTTAGGTAAGGGGACGCTGGTCAAAAGCTGGCTCAGCACAAAGTTCAGGGGTGGAAACTGGGACATCAGGCGTAGGACATCATAAAATTCACCATGTCATCTATGACATGGCCTGTTGAGTGACAGAATTAATTCCTCTCATTGTAGTATAAGATGCTCCTTCCATTTGGGTCTAACCTTGAGGCTGACAAGGGCGAGAGTGTTAGATGCTAAGGACTTGCTACTCGAGGCCAAAGATGGGCTGTCAAGTTTCCATTCCAATACCTACGACAGCTGACTGGAGAAAATGTGGGTTTCTCAAAGAACAGAACGACTGTCCCCCTCCTCCACCATAGAACAGATCCAGGGAGGTTTTCTGCCTCCTTCATGTGACTCCTTGTATTGTTGAATCCTGTGAAACTAGAAGGGAGTGAAAGTTCAGATGCAGTGACTAAAAAGCTTAAGTCCACGAAGTCCCGACAGTAAAACTCTGACGGCTTCTCCATTGCTGCATCTAGTCAACACTATCTACGCTGCCTTCTGGCCATTTTTTTTCATGGCCAAAGCAGCCAAGATGGCAGGACCTTTGAAGTTAGGCAAGACGGACCCACGAGCACCGCCCTGCTGGCCTGCTCAGAATACCTGCACCAGGCCAATCCCCACAACCTCAGCTTTGGGCATGGCATTCAAACAAACTAGATACATGTAAGAAGAATGAAAGAAAAAAAACATACATTATCTAAGTAAGAAATTTATTTGACCAAATGGTAATATATGAAGATATTTTAAACTATAAGGCTCTACCCAGACAAAAAGCATCTTTATTATAAAGTAAGTGTTATCAATTTAAATGGCACCTAAAAACAAAGAATGAGTTTCGTATAAATAATATGTCTGTAAAAAGCTTTCATAAAATCCTCATGTATTTTCAAACTAGGTAGCAAGTGTAACAGAAAAACCTATAAATAGTACTTAAAAGCAGGTTTCTTAAAATTTATGGCACCTACAGTGTGTCACTATAGACAGAGTATTCGGGGGGTTCTGTGATAATCAAAACATGGCTACCATCGGTAAGGGACGTGTCCCCTGATGAGCAGAACCGAAGCCATGATTAAGCCTCAGCCTTGAGCTCCCTGCAAAGCATTGTATCATTCCAAATTCTTGGGACTTTGAATCGAGTTGGGAATGACTACAAGAGGAGGTCGGGAAACCAGGATTGGAAAGAGGGAAGGGAGAGGAAACCAAGGTATAGCAGGATCAAAGATATTTATAAAGCAGCTTTATAAATGACCAAGAAAATGAGTTTTTAAACAACACAAAATGGTGAGTCCTTGGGGCTGCAACGTGGCATCTGCAAAGGGGACAGTACCAAGCCCTGCTGGGAGGGGCTGACCTGCATGCTGGGTGCCTGGCTTGGAGCCACCACACGCAACAGCATGAAACCTTCTCTGGATTGCCATGTCATTACCTGGAAACACTGGAGACAGGTCAGTGTGCACGTTACACCATCTTTCCCCAAATATTTTTCCAGCAACCAGTGACTCTGTCTTTGGGGCCCTGATGGGAGTTTGACACGGAGGAATCTGCAGCTCCAGGTTATAGGATCAGGAGCGTGTCAGACGAGCAGGAAAACCAGATATAAAGAGGGTGATGTACACACGCTGTTAGCAGCAAAATGCAAAGGTGTCCAATGATTAAAATTAAACTGAGTGATAGGGAGAAACAGGGAAGATTCCAGAGAGCCAGGGATGGTAACTAAAAATAATTATATAGCACCCATTATTACTAATCTAAGATATATAAGCATCACTGCAGATTTACATAGTGTCTATGCTGTTAGTTTAATAAATATGAGGGCTTTCAAAATATTTTAAATGACATATACATTCTAATATAAATATTACACTCCAGATTCATACAACTTAGTTGATGTTACATTTAAAGATAGTAGATTTGGGCTTGTATATGCAATTATTTTAACAGACTGTTTTCTGAACTTTGATCATTCGGCTAAGTAAAGGCTAAAAAAGACGGGAAGTATCTTACTGGGAACTTTGGCAGCAAACATGTTTTTGTCTATGTATTTATACATTATACAAAGATACACTTATTCATTTGTATAAATGAATTTAAAGTACTCCATAGGAGATCTTACACTTAAAACACTTTTCTGTCTTCTTATCTGCTTCTTTGCGGTCAAGTCTACATGGGAGGGCTACTCAATGCCTTATACCTCTTTTTTTTGGAGTCTCATTGTCTTCCTTAGAGGCGTGTATTTAAAAACAGTTTCATGTTTCCCATTCAGGCTAAGTGGCTCTTTTAAGGTTCCTAACCTTGAGATTACAATCTTCACTATCAATGACACTGATACATACACACATTTTAATAAAAACAGTAAATGGCTTATATCACCTACTTTTAGCAGTATGCTTTTAAAACAGGTTTGTTCCCAGCACTACAGAAAATAATCTCCAAACACATCCATTACTTTCTACTCAGGAAAGATGTTACATCTGACTCTATAGAGTGATTTTGTAAAATAGTCTTATGCATGTGTAAACTAAACAGGCTGCCCAATTTTATCCCAATGGTTAAAGGAAAGTAGCATCGACACTATGACATCACATCACACCTGTGCTCTCAGGTACAGGGCGAGAGTGAGGGCAAGAGAGAGAGACAGAGAGAGAGAGAGAGAGAGAGTGTTTAACCTGAGAGCTTCATAATTTCAAAGCCTAGGCTGTCATTCACCTTTGCTTCATTTCTCCAAAACAAGTTCCTAATTCAGCTACCTGAAGAGACTGTTGCAGCAGTATGGTAAAAGCAGCCTTTTTTTTCAAAAATAGGATCTCATTCTGTTGCCCAGGCTGGAGTGCAGTGGCATGATCTGGGCTCACTGCAGCCTCAAACTCCCAGGTTCAAGCGAACCTCCCACCTCAGCCTTCTTAGTAGCTGGGACTACAGGTGTGTACCACCATGCCCAGCTGATTGGTTTTTTTTTGTAGAGATGGGGTTTAGCCATGTTGCCCAGGCTGGTCTCGAAGTCCTGGGCTTAAGCAATCCACCTGCCTTGGCCTCCCAAAGCGCTGTGATTACAGGCATGAGCCACTGTGTCCAGTCGACAGTAGCCTTTTTACTGTGATGTCAATAAACCAACATCTGATGAAGATGTCTGGAACTGGATTCAGAGTCTGTGTATTTTCTCAATGAGTGACTGAGCATGTAAATTTAATTCAAATGAAATTACTAAAATAATTGCTTAAAAAACATATTTAGCACTTTGGGAGGCTGACGCAGGCAGATCACAAGGTCAGAAGTTTGAGACCGGCCTGACCAACATGGTGAAACTCCATCTCTACTAAAAAAATAAAAAAATTAGCTGGGTGTGGTGGTGCATGCCTGTAATCCCAGCTACTCAGGAGGCTGAGGCAGGATAACTGCTTGAACTCGGGAGGTGGAGATTGCAGTGAGCCGAGATCACACCATTGTACTCCAGCCTGGGCGACAGAACAAGACTCCATCCCCAAAAAAACAAAACAAAACAAAACCGCGCATACGCACACACGCACACACACACACACACACACACACACACAAGTGCTTAGGAAAATGAGGTGACCCTAGATGAGCTTATTTCTATGCCTCCTCTAACAGAAAACACCTCATGAAAAGAGATGCTTCTTTTGGCTCAGTTCACCTGAAAACAATTTCATTTGGAACTTTTCTTAGCTATTTAGGGGACTGACTCAAAGTTGGTTCTTTTGGATGAAGCAAAAGAGATATGACCAGCATGGTCAATCAATGAGCCTTACTCAACAGGGTGTCCTGACCAAGTGTCATAGCCACACTGGTCAGACACAATGACCAGTTATGCATTTCCCCCCAGCCAATGCCACTGTTCCCTCAACCGTGATTTTAGTAGAAAAGAAAGCTCTGGAATCAAGGCCCGCACTGCAGTATCTGGGTTGGATGTCCCTGGTCTGGCCTGTGGTAAAGCCTCCGCCCTTCACTGTGTTCATGTTTGCGGCTCTGGCACGGGGACATCTGGCAGTTTTTTTAAAGAGACGTCTCGGCCTCTAGATGAACAATCTGGAACTGTAGAATACAGATCAAAGAATGAAGCGGATCTTTCAGTCGCCTCATCCTATAGCACTTGCACAGCCCCTGTCCTCTCACCCTACATAAAGTGTTTCCCACACCAGAGTGTGCGGGACAAGGCGACTCCAAATCCCAAGGAAGTAGGGTTTAGCTGGAGGTTAACCCCGTGCTCAGAAACCCTTCCATCTGTTATCTCTCCAGCTTCAGGTTTCACAGCAGTTTATAAATGGCATAATACAAGGGTAATGTGAGTAAAGTCTGAGAGTTTTGTTCATTATCAAGTTATCAACACAGTGCCCAACTAAGTAAGGTGATCTAGCGGAGTAATACCTCTGGCCTGGGGGAAAAATAAAACCAATCAAATCACACCTTTGTCTAAAATGTTCCATTAAAAAATTACGGAATAAAGTTTGAGATTTCCTACTTTTTCATGTTACCTTTACCTCAATTTTAAACTTATATTGTTTGTTAAAATTATCAGATGAACAACCCCATTGCCATGGAAGAGAAAAAACTGTGAGGAAACAGAATCACAACTCGGAAAAAATAAGTGAAAAGGCATTTGCATTGAGAGATTGCTAAGATTTGTTAAGTTAAAACAATAATGTATCTAGAAAAGACTGTGAAAATTATATATCTCAAAATAGAACAAGGCATAGTCAGAAGGCTCAGTAAAACAATTACTTCAAGACTGACTAACAAAAAGGATAAGTGAAAGAACGCTTCCATCCTTGATCTTTCCTCACTTCCTCCCTCAGACTCTACCAGTATGGATGCACTAACATAGAATAACCTAAAAGCCATGAGAAAGTGCTGGTATTTTCCAGGACCTCAAGACACCTTTTGTCTTGGTAACCTGAATTCTCTCTCTGATCAAGGCAGCTGACGGACTTTAAATGTATTTGGAGATACCGGTTCAAAGACCTCATCGTCATCTTCTACCCCTTCTTCTATCGGTTTCATCTTGGCAGAGGCTCGCTGGTGTGGGGATGACACATCTGTGGAAAGATACAGGAAGTAAAACAACTGAATGCACAATCTACCCCAATACTGGTGTGATGTATCAATTATAAATTCCAACTGGAAAACAAAACTCAGTCGGAATCTCTCACTAGTACCAAGAACACAAGTTCTATAAACTATTCTACATCAATCCAGCATTTCAAGAAAACAACCAAGTCAAGAAGAGACTCTCAGCCAAGAGAACAGATGAGGGACAGACTCTACTGTAGGTGCTTGGATGATATGAGTTTCTCAAATATATTCAGTTCCCAGGGGCTTGCCCCACAGTCTGTTTATGACTCAGAACGCATGCTCCTACATTCATATCATACATGGGAGCTTGAGTCTCATATTGGCCCTTCAAAGTTAATTTAACTCCTAATTTCCCTAAATAGTATTTCTATTCTAAAATTATGGAATCTAACACCATCTGTAATATCACCTAAAACACATTTCTTGCCTCCACTGTGGAGTCCAGTGACTCCCTGGGCTGATACGAAAAGACGAGGAAGAAAGGCCAGGCATTCAGGAGGGAAGAGCTGAGTGGAGGAAACACAATCCCAAGTAGCAGCAGGAGAAAAGGCATCCCCAGGGCCTTTTAGGATGCCATTTAATCAAAGGAAGCAGGCAACAATTCATTCATTCAGTCACTCATTGGTTTATACATTCACCAATTGCTTATAGAGCATCCACCACATAATGGATACCAAGCTTGGTGTAGAAGAAAATACTATCTAAAAGTAAGAGTAGACGTCATCATCAATAGACTTTGCAAGGTGCCTAATGAGCAGCTAACGTGACTGCATAACCCCCCTGCATACAGTCACCACCATCACTGTCAGGATCCATGCTGCCTGGGTTTCTGCATGCCCTACCCACACCCATCTCCTTGCTGCCCAATCGCAGGGTGGACTGGTATTCAGGCAGCCCACAAATGCTGAATGCAGCTGGGGAAAAGGCTGATGGCAGAGGGACACAGGATGAAACAAGACTCTTTAAATACTTGCTAACAGCAAAAGCAAGTGGAGGATCTATTAAGACATGAAGCGGATCTGCTACAAGATGACCACAGAAGTTTGTCAAGATCAGCTGTCATTCACTGGCAGGAGACAGGAGCAGATGGCCGAGTCGGCCAGCACGGGGAGAAGTCCACAGCCAGCAAGCGGGGCCACAGGCTTTGAGCATGTCATACAGCCGCTCCTGGCGGGAGGCTGAGTCGGCGGCAAAGGCTTTGCCCTGGCACTCAGCCACGAATGAGTGGTCATTCCTGGCCCCTGGTATGGCACGGAGGGAGGCAGCATGCAGAGGAGTCAAGACCAGAGGCTCAAAAAGCAGTTCCAGGGTTCAAATTCCTGCTCCGCAATCTGCGCTCAATTACCACATCTTTCTAAGCCTCCGTTTCCATATCTATAAAAAGGGGATATTCGCAGAATCTGCTCCATGGGATTGTTGGGAGGATTAAACAGAATAATGCATATGATGTGCTTAGCAGGGTGTTGGGCCTATAGAACATGTGACTAAATGTTGTTTCTTATTAACTGTACAGTCACTGCTGTGCATCTGGGGAAATGCTGCGACCAGTCATATCTTCTAACATAAAAAAGTATGCAGTGCTGGACTGTGGTACAGCTCATGTATACTTGCTGTACATATATGGAAATTGCTCACTTGCAAACATCTACAGGAAAAATATGGAGTTTCTTAAAAGACAACTACTGACATAAACTGTAGAAAATAAGCCTCTAATAAAATGGTCCAAGAACCCAATTCTGCACAGAGCACAGCATGGGAAGTTTTCAGGCAAGTTCTTATCCTTTTCCATGCAGGTGACACAAACACAACATTTACTACACATGTCTACTCAATGGCGATGACTCCTATCTGTGTGACCTTGGACAAGTTACTTTACCTCTTTGTGCCTTAATTTCCTTATCTGTAAAACAGGAATAATAAGAACAGCACCTATTTCATATGGTTGTTATAAGGATAAAATGACTTGATATTTGTAAAGTTTTTAGATCAGTGCCTGGGATGTAATAATCACTTTGTAAATATTTGTAAGAATATAACAATCAAGTACTATGGTCTTTGGAAGGCTATGGACTTAATAATGAGAAAATTTGTTAAAATTCATCATTGCTCATAGGAATGGCCAATAAAGGAAATGGGCCTTGACTCAAATGGGGGTTTGTGTTTCTCAATCTTAGCTCTCTTGAGTGTAGCCAAATTGTCTTTAAAATAAAAAAAAAATGGCCAGGCACAGTGGCTCGTGCCTATAATCCCAGCACTTTCAGAGGCTGAGGCAGGCGGATCACGAGGTTAGGAGATCGAGACCATCTGGCCAACATGGTGAAACCCCATCTCTACTAAAAATACAAAAATTAGCTGGGCATGGTGGCACATATCTGTAGTCCCAGCTACTTGGGAGGCTGAGACAGGAGAATCGCTTGAACCGAGGGGGCGGAGGTTGCAGTGAGCTGAGATCGTGTCACTGCACTCCAGCCTGCCAACAGAGCAAGACTCTGTCTCAAAAACAAAAACAAAAACAAAAAAATAGCCCTGCCTTCCATCATATTTTTAGCCTTAAGTTCTCATTGGGTCTCATAAAATATTAACTTAGGCTGAGTATCTACAATCAGATAAAACTCTCAGAACAAACAATAAGATGACATGCCTAAGAGCATTAAACCAAATCAATAATATATAGTATTTAGACATAATTGTATAATATGCTTAAATGAAACATACCCAGTTTATTTTGTCTGAGGAAGTAGGACAAATTGGTTCCTAGTTTTTAAGCTCATCTATCAAACCAGGAGGAACATCCTACCCTAAGATTGAGGCAGGTATCTATACTGGAGCCACAATGCTATCTGACCCTCCCAACTATCTCATCTATTCTTGCATTTTTCTCAGAAAGAAAATGAAGGGAGGACTCAACACAAATGGAAATGGTTAAGTGAGAAATTCCCAAGAGCCTTCAGCTTTTCTGTGAAAGAATTTATTCTGCTCCTACCATATTTGCTGGGGCAGAAGAAGAGCTGTGGCCTCTCTTACCATATAACATTAAAAGGATAATGAGAGTCATTCACAATCCTTGGGGTGACATCTGGGGTTCTCCAAGTTGGGCCTCCCTCCCCCTTCTAGTCCAAGCTCTTGCAAACTCACTGCTCTTCAAATTCAACCCATCCTCCTCTTTTCCTCTTACTTTTTTTCTCCACTTGGAATGGTTTCTCCACTCCCATCCCTAATCACCAAATTCCCATCCTTTCCCCAAGCAGGGTTCAAACTCCACCTCCTTCATGTGTAACCCTCCCTGACTCCTGGGGGAAGATTCTACCCTCTTCATCACAATAACTTCAGCCCTTACACATCCTGTATAACATTGTGGTTACAGTACTTGCACCTCTTCCCTATTAGGAAACAGGCATCTTGAATGCTGTAACCATGGCCTCTCTTCTCCTGCAGCCTTGCAGAAATACCCCACACATAGCCAGGACCTTGATAAGTCCTTAAGCATGCAGTGATGAAAAAAAATCCCTCCTCTGAAAGGCCACATAGGGAACCTCAGAAAGGATCCTGAGAATGAGGGAAAAAGACATGGGCATCATGTTTAATCTCTTGCGGGTCTCCCAGTGGGGCACTACCAGCATTCTTCAAGCACAGGCAGGCCTCAGAGTCCAGTAAACCTCATTAGGAAAAGCGACTGTCATCCCTGTGCTCTGTAGCATGTCCCCTGATGGAAACCACTTTTGTATAATTGATTTGACATTGCTTAGATCATGGACAAGAACACTATTCTCTCAAGGGAATATCAATAGGCTTAACTGCACCGTCACCTGCTATAGTGTTTTCATTCAATCAGCAAAATCAATCAGGGGCTGACCACAAGGTGCTAGACAATGGGTTAAATGGTGGGTAAATAAAAATGAATCACACCTGGTCTTTCATGCTATCTTATTTCTCAGAAACTCAAAGCACTTTTCAGAGCAATTCGCCCTCACCACATCTGTACTATTATTTCTACCGTATATTCTGAAGCTAAAGCAAAGACAACTTGGAACACCCGTGAAGGAAAACAGAGCGGGTGGCTGCCGTGAATGAGCTTATTTCTCACTAGGGCGTGAACCATTTAGACAAAAACACATCCTAGGAGGATAAACCAGGGAGTCCTAACAGCCTGCAAAGATTGAATTTTTTCTGCAAAAGCTGTTGACTTACTTTCATTTCAAGCTTTGCGGCTGAGAATCTGCAATCCCCCCCCCCCCAAATCCCTGTCCTTACAACAACATTGCCTTGTTGTTCTTTTTCCACCGCAGTAGACCCACTGGCAGACAGGAGTACAGCCCAACCTGCCACTTCCAGGGACGACCCAGTGCCAGTTGGCTGCCAACCCCTCGCTTAGAATCTAAATCACAGAGAGTGTCCACTCTTTTTGTTGTTGTTATTGTTGTTGAGATGGAGTCTCGCCTGTCACCCAGGCTGGAGTGCAATGGCGCAATCGTGGCTCACTGCAACCTCCACCTCCTGGGTTCAAGTGATTCTCCCGCCTCAGCCTCTTAAGTAGCTGGGATTACAGGTGCACAACATCACACCTGGCTAATTTTTTCTATCTTTAGTACAGATGCAATTCACCATGTTGGCCAGGCTGGTCTGGAACTCCTGACCTCATGATCTGCCCACCTCAGCTTCCCAAAGTGTTGGGATTACAGGCGTGAGCCACCGCATCCCGTGAGTGTCCACTCTTTGTATGAACCCCAGTTACCCTGGCCTTCTGTACCATTGACAGCCAAGTATAACATTCACATCCAAGAAGACCAAAGGATCACTTGCCCTGCCTCAGTATCTGCAACTGTCATGGCCATCAGAAAGGCCAGCTTTGAGGACTGAGGGGCAGACTGAGGGGCTCACCTGGCCCCTAGACATGGAGCTCTCTGGCCTCATCAGGAGACTTACTGGTTCAATGAAGAGACTCGGAGTCCATCCCTATATATAG